CGGGGGGGGGGGTCACGAAGGACCTTATGCGCGCTCGCGCACACCCACACGCAACCGTATACAGGCACTCGGTCACTCACACACTTTTCATACAAATAGAAGAAAAAAGAAATGTATGTCAAGAATATAAGCGCGAGACGATATTTTTGAGAAAAAAAAAGAGATGCAATAGCTTCGCTGCAAGAAGAGGAACGAGGAACGAGTGTTTTAAAGGAATGCGGATACGATGAAAGGGGAAGAAGAGGAGGCACGAAGATGCGAAGCATAGAAAGAAGCACCGGAAGTGGACTCAGAACCTCTATCAATGTCACTATATCGGTATCTGTTGTGTGAGCGATCGTGTGCACATGTGAGTTGCGCCGCATATATATATATATATATATATATACGTAGTGTGAATGAACGCGAGCTATTTAACAGGTCGAGGCATCCAATGAGCGATCGGTTCGTTGCTCCTGTCGTGGCACCTTGGTTCAATCAGTGACGTAACACACCTAGACAGCAGGAAGACGTCTCGTACGTGTCTCACGTGTGGCTCGGACACCTATGTAAGTGGCGAAGGTCACGATGATTATATACGAGGCGCATCGACGCGCTCGTAATCGTCAACCGGGTTCAGAATTTATTCTTCATATCCTCCTCAATCTCCTCGTGCATCCACAATTGTCCCACCCTGGTCATCGCTCACGTACGATCAGCGTCTACAGGTCGAAGGACCGGAAACGGAAGTGACTGCGAGGGTCGTGCAGATACCAGGAAGTCCCGAGACGCCGAAGAAGCTGCTCGTCGTGCACTGGGTGGAGACAACGTGGACGGACCCATCGTGAAAATGGACTGATAGTTATATGATACGTAATTATCCCATGCGGCAGAGCTTGGCGCTGGATTTTATAGTAAAACTTCAAGTCCCGTGGGTCAGGGAGGTTATGGATGACTTCTTTCCAAAATCAAAATCTCAAGTATCGGCCTGAACTTCGTTCCGAATCCAGAAAGTTGAACGGTTCGACGATAAGCGTGTTTCTCGTGTGTGACGTCACTTTTGTTTATATGTCCATCGACGTTGTTTGGCCTGTTTGTTTGATCGGTTTTTATTGGGTCGTTACCTCCGAGCTACGTGATTCGTGGATTTGGGCTGCTGGTATTGTGCTTGACCTGGGACTGATGGAAATAGAGTGATAGAGCGAGAGTGATAGAGACAAAGTTAGACAGATAGGAGGTAAAGAGGGAGACAGAGAAGACTGTACCATGAGAGCGACAAGGACGACTTGTGGTGGTTCGAAGAAGGCAGCCGAAATTCTTCACGAATTGGATTTTCCTGGGTCACGAGGGGGTCAGGGAGGGTCAATCACTGTTTCTTCGCTATATCGATTAACGATTCCTCGGTCTGATCTGAAAGGTACGGAGCTACTTGTGTCGTATGACGTTTCTGTGATACTCACATAGACTTCCTCCCACTGGGAGACGTATCGGACGAGTCTCGAGAGTCGCAGCAGCCGGACCAAGGAGAGAAGCTTCGCCAGCCTGAGGATCCTGAGGGCTCGGCCTGCATGAAGGATCTTGAAGGACTCGCTGTAGTCCTGAAACTGAAGAGGGCAAACGGGGTCAGATGACTGATAAATACGACGGAAACGTCTGCTGCCTCTACGGGCTACGTTATGAATTTAATTGATTTATTTTTATGGACCTTCAGATTGGCTCACCTGATTGTATATGAGAAATATGTAGTCTAACGGTATCGAGGATATGAGGTCTAAGAAGAACCACGTCCTGAGGTAGTGCCTGGCGATGAGTTTTGGATCCAGTATCACTTGCTCCGCGTTGTCCTGTTGCATTATGCCTGAGAGTAAGAGAGATAGAAGATTGATAAATTAATAAATCGAAAGATCAATATGACTGGTACCGAATCCAAATTAAACTATGTTCCCGGCCGAACGAATCGAATGTCGCTAAGTTGGAAATGCAGTTTAATGCACAATGATTTCATCGACGATGCGACTCGTGACCCAATTTCACGTTTGTCCTAGTCAAACGCGCTTCAAATTAATCCACGGACAATAACGAAATGTCAAGAGGTCAGGAGGGTTCACGGTGGGTTCAACAATGATGTTATTCTCTGATATAACCCAGGACGAAGTCTCGAAAAAGCACAGTGAGGTTGTACGGGGTTCTCAGTTTTGTTTTTTATTTTTATTTACAACCTCCAGACCACCACTCACCCGTTCTGAAGTTTACGACGATGTCGATGAGGAAGATAGTGTCCGAGAGACAGTTGAAGGCTATCCACCGGATGCTGAGGTCGTCGTTGAAGAAGCTAATGGCAACCGGCAGGATTATAAGATTCGCTACCAGCAGCAACAACATGCACAAGTCCCAGTAGAACCTGTAGGCAAAAAATATCATTTTTAATACATGCAACGACAGAGCTATCAGGTTGTTGTCTCCCATGAGCCATTGAGATATTCCTGGGTTGTTCAGCTTTAATGGGTCCGGTCGCTTCGAGACAGCATTGGCCCACTTTTAAACCTAATAACGTTCCTACATGCTCAGCCAATACGCAGAGGTATCTAGCGAGCGCGAAGGTTCCTGGGCTGTACTTGTTCCTCTCTGGGTATAGTACGTACAACGCGGTACCAGTGCCGGTACAGAGACGAGAGACAGTATAGTTATCAGGGACAGAAAAGAAAAAATGCAACGGAATTAAAATGGTTCCAGAGTATATAAAAAAAAAAAAAAAAAAAAAAAAAAAAAAAATTTCAACTCTCCCACTATTATGCTTTTTGAGTATTTACGATAACAGTCAATGATTTTCCTCATTGTCCGTCTCTCTTCGGACTCTTCCGCATTCCTCCTTTTTTTTTTTTTCCTTTTTGCTCATTGGCCGTGACCGTAATGCATCAAAGAATCGCGGCGTCCCTCGGAAAGTGTCTGCGATTTTCGCGTCGGCGCTTCGGCAGCGACGCGGAGTCGCCTCGACGCAATCGCGGCGGTACGCAGGCCCCGGTATTTCGAGTCAACAAATTAATCAATCTTCGCTGGGCAATAACGCCGAGCGTATCGACTTTATTTATCGTTATTCAAATCAAAATAAAATGATCTCATTAAGCATAAACCAAAAAAAATAATCAGACGGTCGTAGCTCAAGAGGAAAAAAATACGAGCTATTCGAGCATACCACGAGATGCTACGGCGTGTTGTACGTAAATAAAAATGGTACGCGTGCCTGTGGACAATGGCGTCGGCGTCGTTCTCGGGAATGACGGAGAATCGGGTGGCACTCGTTTACTTCATTGTCCTATGGACTCGAGGATGTTCTGACGTAACGATCCCCTCTCTATCTCTATATCTCAATGAGCAACCTCATAGGAGCTATCGGGCCTCCGACTGTTTTCAGTCATTCTTCGTACCCTACGTGCTGGTCCTAGAGGGATGGATGAAGGCTTGGGCCTATGGGTGGGACCAGGTCCGGGAAGCTAAAAAATTTTAACAATTTGAAAAATCGTGCTGGAACGTGGAAGATCTCACGGTGGGCGTAGGTCATGGTCGTGAGCTGTCCGGTATCATCTAACGCTGGAACGGAGGCGTATTAATTAATTAAGTCATATTAATTGCGCCCCCATTAGATTCATGGTTCAGTTAGTAACTCGCGCTTCCCCCCCGTCCCGTCCCGATCCTCCACCGCCCACCTACCCCCCGTTTACCTCGCTGCCGCTGGAACTCGCCCGTTTTCAGTTTACGAGCGTCGGGACGCGGGCGCCGGGTAATTGCCAGTGCTAACAATGAATTTAAAAAAAAAAAATAGTACGAGACACGAAGCCGCACTGAACCACGTTCAGCGCTACCAATTTCCAGTGTCACGGGGCTCTTCCGATGCAATTCTCAGCTTGCTCGGCGGAGAATTTTACCGATCCAAGAAACGTGAGCGTCGGTAGGCGTCGCTCTATCGAAGAGACCAGTGGACGCTCTCGGCGACCGTTTGGCCATGTGTTCCTTTTTCGCGTCTATCGTCGAACGTTCTGACGCACGAAAAATTAAGACACTTTTTTTTTTTCAAGCGTTCCAAGAGGTACTCGAAAATTATCGCGGGTCGGACGCATCGGCTGCAATAATGTCCAAATTGTGATACCAGAAAAAAAAATTCATACATCAGGGAACCAAAAAAAAAAATCCATCCCTCGACGATATTCAACCCCCAGACATATCAAAGGGTCCGAATCCCCGAAAAATTCATCCCTAATCGAAAGGGTTAACCGTAGCTGATAACACTACCGTGACCTTGCACGTGACCCAATCTGACCCTATAACTTCCGGAATGAGGTAAGAATCGCCATGTCTCGTAGTATTAAAAAAAATTAACTTTCGCAAGGACCACCCAGTAGGATTTTTGGAGTTGGCCTACGGAAGCGCACGTGGGCAAGCGTCTTGCAGTGACAAGGGTCAAAGATCACGTCCTGCGGCAACTGTCTGAACGGAGGCGACGCGTGGACGTCGAAATCAGCTGGTCTCAAATAGGTCCAAGGCCCCTTTCGACTATGACCTGTCATTAGGTAGTTTGCAAATTTAAACAGCGGTTTCCTACCGGTGACCGCCGTGCGTAGAGTCCAGCAGGGCCGATTACGCGCAAGCTTACGCAACCGACGCTCATCGTACTCCGCCGAGGCGTCGCGGCAGCGATCGGCTCCCATAGACACGTACCAGGCCGAAGTCGATCTCGAGATAGCCCGATCTCGAGATCTGGCACGAGCGACAAGTGCCCTGAGGTTGCACGGCTCAATATCCCCCACCGAGGCCTGGAAGGAATTGCCATTCGATTCGGAGCAGCTCGACAAAGACGTTACTGCTGATGCGGTTGGAATTTCTTTAACTGACAGGCGATACGGCACGACCGAGGATGCATTCGATGTAACTGCATCAGCAATAAGGTACCGGAATGCGCCATTCTAGCGAGTAACGGCGCTAGAACTGCTTGGCGAACGATAGAAGAAAGTGGACGGGCGACGGGGAGCCAGGAGGGACTGGGTCGTGTCACAGTGCAACTGCCCAGGCCTGTGTACAGTACGAACGCGATAACACGGACTGTACATAAAAACGCATTGAACGCGCGGAGCATAGCCGGAGGTTGATCTAGGAAGGCTGAGTCAAAGCATCCAGACATACGATGCTCCGATTACGCTTACGACGTGCCAGCGACTGTAGGCTCCAGTTGGACGCATAGCCATAAAATGCCAGCGAGGTTGCCTGCCTGCCGACACCAATAGCCTACACGTCGGACTTAATCGAATGATTATTCGGAGATTATTCCTCGAGCCTTCCGCGACTAAAATAAACGACACACGCCACTCCATGGCAATTTCTATGGCTGTGATTCCTACCGACCTGGTCAAAGGGGACTTTTAACTCTGCAAGCTCACGGGGGTATCAGCGAGGACGCCTGATCCAGGATGGCGAACGAAAATATACTGGCCTGTGGCGCCACTCGGTTTTTACCAGCCACTTTTGTATTTTTAGCGATGCTTAAAGCTCTGATCCAGGGGGG